CTCTCTTGGAACTGATAAATTCTTAAATTTGGAGCTGTCTATTCTAATTTTATCATTCTTTTAAAATGCCTGGCACTTGCTTTGTACGAACTATTTTATACAGTAGATTTCATAATGATTGTTAAATGCATGGTAATGTCTTTAAATGTGAGAGACCAGAATGACAAAAACTTATGCCAAACAAGTGTCTGTTGTAATATAAAAACTTGAATGGGATGGTATTCTCTTAAAATAGTATTTCAATATTAATAAACCTTTTCAATTGTTTTTTATTAACTTCCAAATTAAATTGAAATTTAATTCATGCTTCCTTTTTTGTATTATTCATGATATAAAACAATTGCTTATATGTCTGCCTCTCTGGCAAAAGTTTTAACACACTTTAACATCCTTTTTATTAAATCATCTCCTAGCTTTCATATTTTTATTTCATACTGAATACAACAGAGATTAGATCTTCATTTGATGTATAAGAAAAATACATTTTACTGATGTGATTTTTACCTTAAAATATTGATCTCCAGAAATAATCAATACTTGAGCTACAATTCAAGGATTTAATTTTAAGAATATAGTAAATAACTTTCACCTTGGAACAACAGTGCCATTCCCCTTTCCTATAATGAAGTACTGCTCCTCAGCTGCTCTGGGTGCCACCTGAAATGTGTCAGTGCAACAATTGTCCATGGAGATACAAGGACATCAACTCTGTCAGTTTTCCAAACACAGATAATTTAAACCTCAGAAATAGTTTCTCTGGGCTAAGCCACATTAGAATTAAGAACAGTTTCTTCCTTGTGAGGATTCAGAACAGCAGTGTTCTAACACAGTAGCAGACCCTCCACAGATGTCAATTGTTTTCTTTCTGCCTCTATTCCATTGTTCTTTAATTATACATTTGTATCAGTTTAAATGTAATATGCTATTAAATAACTAGAGTGCTTTCCAATTAGAAAACACACACATAGACACACACACACACACACACACACACACACCAGCTTTAAGTGGTGAATATTTATGTGGTACTATGATATATTAGCATATAGCATAAATTTTGTCTTTGAGCATATTACATATTAGAAATTTCTTACTACACATGCAATTACCACTATTGGTCATCAGCAGAGCCAAGTCCTCATTTCCCTGTCTTTTCTTACAATCCTAAAGTATAACATAGAAGTTCTAAAATAAACTGGAACTGATTTCACTTGTGTAGTTAGTGAAATTCAAATAAATTAAGATATTAAAATAGCATCTTTTATATAATGAGTTCTGTCGGGCTCTACAGTAAATGTAAGTGAACCAGTCCTTTGTTGTACTTTATTATACTCTGTTCTAGGTACCAAGGCATTAGATTGCTAAAAGAATATCAACACTATCATTCTCCATTTTCATTATGTAAATTATTGGGTCAGGACAATTTTGGAAACATAGGGTACTTATTGTGAGTTGGTTTTACTGAATCCTTTGAGTAACTAGTCAAGAGTTAGTTAATCCTTGGAGTAACTAGTCAGGAGTAGCTAATGTGATATCCATAAAGTTAATGAGAACTCTGAAAGCAACAGAAACTGTGCTCTATTTGATAATGCAGGTTGGGTATTTTTTATTAGTTTGCAAGGATTAGTCTGATTAAATGCCCTTTAGCCTGACCTTTCTTACAAGAGTGTGTGAAAATATTGAAAACACAGTTTGTGTTTTAACCAAAGAACTTATTCTATGGTGCATGACTTATTCATCCTCCAAAACCAAATTTGGTTGGGGCAAAATTTTCTATAATAATCCCATTTTAAAAATAATGTTAAAATTACTAGAACTCCATTAAAAGTGTTTTGGGGCTAGAAGTCGTGTTGACTTAAGTTAGGCAAATCAATTCAGTTATAATTTATTCAAGGGTAAACACAAAATATTCTATATTCAACAATCATTTTTTAAAGTTTTTCTGTTTACATTCATGTTTATAAAATGTTTGCATTTTCAAGGTTTCTCTGAGAATATTAAAAGATAATGTTGTACCTATAAAAAAATTGCATGTGAAATAAATGGAAAACATGTAGTAACACAGAGCCATCTATTGAAAACACGTGGATCTGATGCTGGATGAGTGTATATGTAGGGCCCTTGGTGTTTACCTTTATTTAGTCATATTCTGTTTAAAAATGGGCAATATTTTGTGAGTTAATTCTGAAGCACATTGATTTTTAAGGGTCAATATATTTATATATCTTTATTTTACAATATCCATCATGTACTAAGTACACAGACTTTTCTAAAGATTAGGTTAGAGTTTATTTTCTTTTGATTTTTTAGGTTACATAAATACATTGCTTTGTTAGAATGCATTTTAGGCATTTGATGAGGGATTACCTGAGGAACTACAAATAATAAATCTTTAGTTTTGATATTAACTAGAAAAAAATAACGTGACTATATTTATAATGACTTGAAGACGTTATATAATAAAGTCAGCACTTGGACAGCTCTCTGTGGTATCTTATTAATCCTGTAATCATAGAAAAGATGGCTTTGAATAATAAAGTAATTGTTGTTGCTGGACATTATAAAATTTCCTACACCATCTTCATTCATGAAACTGGGTTTCTGCACGTCCCTATCCTCACTATAGGCTTCTAATCTCTTGATATGCAAAATGTTATTGTAATTATTGTAAAATATTTTGTTCTAATTTACATTTATTTGAAAATATTTACAGTTTTTTGGCTGTGATTGGCATCGTATTCATCCTTGACTACAATAGCAAATCGTAGCCACCTCTTTGAAGTTTGAAGCATATTTTCCCTTTATATCCCTGTTGCAGACCAGGTGCAGGATGCATGACCCATCAACTACTAAACATTCTGCACACCAATAAAATAGCAAGAACTTTTTGTATATATACTCATTTCTAAATAATAGCTTCTTTGAAAGTAACGTAAAAATCAGAAAGAGATTAAGAAGAACATCCAGAAAGACACCAATACTTTATGGTCCCCTATTACACTTAGAATAAAATTCAAATAATTTTCATTCATCGAATCCTGGATGTTTGTACACATCAATCCCCCACCCTTATTGATTCCATGCTTTCCCGTATTACAGTAGTCACATTGAAACCAGTCAATTCCAAAAGTCAGCACAGTTCTTTCCACCACAGGGCTTTTTCAGTGGCAAGTTCCCGTGCTTAGAATGCCTTTCTTTGCACATTGCACACACTTGGTTCAATCTTTTTCATGAATTTTCACCGTAAATATCAGCTGCTTATCGAGATTGTATGTTTACCCTAGTCAAAAATAAAGAAACTAATGTCTTCCCTTGTAGTATCTTGCTTAACTCCTTGGTTCTTTCTTGACCTTTATTGCAGCCAGCAATTACCGTTTCTCTTGTGTACTTGGTTTTATTTGTCTTCTCTCATTAGAAAATATCTTTGTAATGACAAGGAATGAATGTGTATCTTCTTCATCAATGCTTCTCCAATTTTAAGTACTGTCCCTAGACTCTTTTCAGTATCCAATAAACTTTTATTGAATGCACTCATGCACAAATAAATTAAATATTTAACACACAGAAAGGTAGGTTGAAGCAGTATAATCTGGATCTAAATGGTGCTAATACGGAATTGAATTTTAATCTTAACTTCAGCATTCACTAGACATGAGACAAGTTCTCTGTTTTGCCTCAGTTCCCATATTTATACAAACAGAGAAAGTAATACTTGGCCGGCATCTTTCAGAGTGCTTCTGTGAGGACATATTGAAATAATTGATGTGAGGCACGTTACATTATTTAAACATTATATAAATAAAAGATAATCTCCTAAATTTATCTAAAAATTAAATAAAAAGGAAAATATTTAAATTCAGTAAGAGAAGTTGGAAAAATTTCAGCATATTTTATTTGTAGAAAAGTTGGCCCTCATTCTTCTACATCAAAAGTAATGGGGGAAAGAATCAGGAAATGACTGCTTATGAAACGAGAACCCAAGACTTGGGGAAAGATTATTTCCTAGCGATTGAGGAATACAAGTTACATTTATGGCCACATTGGTAAAAGAAGGATGGGGCTTTTTTTTGGTCACAGTTGGTGATATCATGAGGGTTTAACTTTCCTTTAAATAGAGGTGGGATAATACAAAGTAGCTCAGCAACAGTACCTGGTGAAAGAGACTGGCACATATACAACGAGGAGAAAGGGGAGAATTAGAGCAAACGTGATTACCTATGTTCTAGTCTCTTCTTCTACATGTCTTCCCAATTCCTTCACAAACTGTGACTAATGAATCATATATATATATGTTGGTTTTTAAATTAAGCCCCTCCCAACCTGCCTTCCACAGATAGGGTCTGGGGAAAGGAGGCACAGATAGGTTACCATAACTAATTCAATATCCCAATGATTCTACACCGGAAGAATGTTTCTGCACAATGTTTCTCCGAACCGCTTTATTTGTTTATCAATGAACATCCTACTGCGTATCTGAGATGTAGGTCATCGGAAATACCAGCTGCCGATCACATGCAGTCTTCATTATATTTCCAGACCCAGTGCGCTGCTGATTCCTGCACAACTGTAGTGCGTCTGAGCTGTGTGAGGGAAAGGAGACACCTGTGCCTAAGGGACGCAGGTGAAGTCCCATCTACCTTCCTGAGACTTTCGCTGGCGCTTTTCCACCCTCTCAGCGGCTCACTTCTCATCTCCATCTCCCCTGTCCACTTGGACTCAGACCTCTCTGTTTAACCTGCGCTTTTCCCGCCCTCTCTCTCCTCTGCACCTTAGCTGAAGACACAGAGAGCTCCACAGAACTGGGCATGCCTAATAGCCAGGGAAGGCTTGGGCTGCAAGAAGAAAGCGTTTGCATCTTCCGAGCTCCCCTCCCCTCTGCAGCTGCCTCCTGCCAGTCAGGCGACCCGACGTGCACCACGGCCCAATGAGGGCCCGCGGCCTTCGCCAGCGCCCCGCCTCTCCTGGCATCACCACCAATGAGTGGTTGGCGGAGGTGGGCCGCGCCCTGTTCCCGCCTCTCCAGTTAAGGCCGCTGGTGTGAGCCCGGGCTCGGCGCGAGCGAGGGACGACGGAAGGGACGGGCAGGTGTGGACGCGGGGCCACGCAGCCCGACGGCGGGAGTCGCAGGTGCTGGGTGCATGGGCCAGTGAGGACGCACGGAGATCCCCTCGCCGCGCAGAGGAGCAGCAGCGCGGGAGCCAGGCGCTGCCCCACGACCCTGCGTCCGAGCGAGCGGAACCTCGCGCTTCGCCCGGGGACAGTCCGAAGTCCGCGCTATGGAAGAGGAGAAATATTTGCCTGAGCTGATGGCAGAGAAAGATAGCCTGGATCCATCTTTTGTGCATGCATCGCGCCTTTTGGCAGAAGGTAGGACTTGCCCCCACCGATGGGCACAAACCGCTGGCTGCCTATTTCACCCTTGGCTTGATTAGGGGAGTGAAGTTGGGGAGGGACTCCTGTCGCCGCCTTCGCAGAAACTGTCCCCCTGAAGATGCTCGTCTCAGAGCTCGGGCGGACAGACCCCGTTCTTGGGGCGGACAGCAGTGCTCCTTCTCCACGTCTTAATTTGGAGAAGACCAAAGCTACGGAGATCTAATGGCAGTGGCGATGTGACCTGTTAGGATCGTTGATAGAGAAACCGTAAAGTGTAACGCGGTCTACAGGGACATTTTCACTTCCCTGAGGGAGGGGAAAGCAGTTTGGAAGTCAATGGTGATCAATGTAGTGTTCTAAGAGCTTTTTGGCTACAGATCAGTATTTTTATTTTTATTTTTTACTGCATTTAGGAAGTGGTGTTTGATGCCCTTTAATCAAAGTCTATCCTGTGGAAAGTGGTAGAATTAACCTATACATTAAACTGTGCATGTTCTTATATGTATGTTAATGTAGTAAGTAGAGGCTAAAGTGCTTATACATTTATTTGAAGTGTGATGATTGGGTACTCTGCGAGATACTGGTCCCTGGGAACGCTCTATAATTGATCAACTGTTTTACCAAGTGTGCATTTTCTTTTGTGTACCTGTAATGTTAAAGGAGATTTCGTTCCCAGAGGAACATATATGTCTTGTCTTTTGCATTGCTTTGAAAGGTTAAAAAAAAAAAGACACACAAACTTTATTAACCAAATTACTCCATTTATGTTATAATAATGCCATCTAAATACTCAAGACACCTATATCTGTAGTTATTTACACATGCCTTTTATAAAACAGCTGCAGATTTTTTTAGATGAATGCTTCATTAATAATGAATTGCTTCATCATCAAATTGGTTACAGTGTAGTTTTGTAGCTAAGGTTGTTATGGACTTACATACAGCAAAAAACTAAAAGGGATAACTTCCTCTACCCCAGCTCCTCAGTATTAAAAGATTTTTTTGAGACTTAGTTGTACCAAGGAAGAATAAATTCTGCTCCTCAATATATGATTTAAATCGGTGTTAGTTATATTTTTAATTGATGGATTGTTATTTATGTTAATAAAGTGTAAGGTTTTTTTTATGTTTAAATGCTAAACAGTTAGAAAAAGATTTATAGTCAAAACATGGAACATGTGAAATAACTGAACTGTTTTCAGGGAAAAAGCTTGTTTTATAGATAAGTGGGAAGGTGAAATACAATTATGCCTACTACTTTGGTTACTGAATGAAAAAAATAGAAATTAAAGTGGAAAAGTAAAGTCAATAAAAATGCACTTTTTTGCTTTCTCAAAAAAGACAACTACATAAAAATAATAGCAAGATAATGAGTTAATAGATGTTTAAGATTGTTTGAAATGATTTAAAAGGCAAGTCTTACCAGTCTTCAGTATCTTTAATATATTTTGAATAGTCTTCAATGTATTTTCCAGAAATTTCTTTATGTAGCTGATAATATGTCTTTAAAGTGGAAAAAAAAAAAAACCACTTACAAATTGATCGTTCTCTCTGACCCGCTAATTAGAGTTCTATTTGAGACAAGTGGCTCAAAGATTAATTCATCAGTCATTAATATGAGTTATTGTACTTGAAGGCGGTCAAGCTAAATAAATGCGTACAAGAAACTCTTAACAGAGTGCGTAAGTATTTCTTTGTCTGGTAAAGCAGTCAGAGAAGGCTATGCACTTGGTTCCTTAACATTTTATCTTTCCTAGGAACTTGATTTCTTGATATAATACTTAGGAACATGTTCTGATGTTCCTTGTAATTTGATTTTTTCCCAGCAGGGGGAAGCATGCCCTGCTTTTGTAAAGAATTAGAAGGAAAAGCTCCTGAATAGAGGAAAGCATCTAAGTAAGAAACAAAGAGGGTACCTAAATTTCAGAGAAATCAGCATAAGGAAAAGAGAATGGAGGAGGTTATAATAATCTTGGAGTACATAAAGAGTTATGCAAAAGAATGCATAAGTTTCAGATTACCTCAGTACTTGGGACTCTTTACATGTGCTTATTAAAGAGTGTAAGATGATTGTTCTTGGAATCTCAATGATCTTAATGTATATTTTATGGTATAGATCTTTCATTATCTTTCCAAAGGCCAGTTGCCAAGATGTCCACACTTAGTTTCAGATGTCTATAGAAGAGTATCGTTGAGGTGATTTTATTTCTTATACTTGAGAATGCACTGATTGAAGGCAGTGGCTATAAATAAACCTGACATAGATATTCATTTGGAGAGAAGGTGCATACTGAAGTACATTTCAGTCAGTACTGTGCAGACAGTGTCAAGCCTGAATGAGTAATAAAAATGATACAGATGATTCAGTTCTTCAGAATGATTTTCCGGAAGCTAATATCTATAAAGGCAGTAATATAAACCAATGAGCTTTCACAATGATTTATTTTGCATTTTGATTGGTGATAGATGCTAATCAGTGCTCAATTGACAGTGCTGCATGTAGAATTGAAGGCTGTGGGGTTGAAAGTACTAGTTGGATGTTTATTTGGGGTTTTTTGGGGGTCCATTGTAGTTTATTTCACTTGTTTCTGCTGTGTGTTTTCCATAAGAATGATTTCAATTGATTGTTACTCAGAAGAAATCTTGAATAATGTAGTTTGAAGTTTGTTTCTAGTATGCTTAAATAATTAAAATAATGTTCATTCTGCGATTATAATGTTGTTTAGTTATCCACTTGTTATGGTAGGTGCTTTTGAATATGATAAAAAAGCAAACTCAGGACTATCCTTAAAGTTCTACTCAGAGTCTGAATTTGGTTGCCAGATGAAATTACATGAGGTTATTTATATCTATTCTGCTTCTGGGAAGTGCATTAAACTGTGAATCTAGATACCTGGATTTGAATTCCACTTTAACCTCAACTGAATCTGGGTAAGCTTTCTTTCCCTGGGCCCAGTTTCCTTGTCTCTCAAATTAAGGAGTTGGACTAAGTGATGTATATGTGTTTTTTTTTTTTTTTTTTTTGCAATTCTAATTAAGTCTCAGACTACTGACGGATACAACGAAGTGATGTTTGTATATTCGGAACAAAAAATCAATGGCTGCACATTTTCAAAACTTTTTTCATTCTTTCCTAGTTTAATGATTAATAATATATTTATGGAACTAAAATGTAATTTGAAGTGTGTATTTTATTTTGAGTATTGGGGACAGATTTATGTTCTTAAGTCTATTGAACTACTATTAATGTTTGAGGCCAAAAATATATATACATGAGAATATTGTCTGGAAATATTCTATGTCTGCTGACAGACATAAATTTGTTCGGATTTATATATTCAATTACAGTGATTCCATATTCTTAGGAGCATTAGAAATTTTTGTCCAATTGAGAGCGGTTTGGGGAAGACTTCCTAGCCTGAAATCTTTGCAAGCATTATATGACGATGTCAAACATTGCCAAATACCCCAGCAGTTCGAATGGTTTTCAAAAAACTGTAGGTGCTATTTTCAAACTTTAGTGAAAAGTTTGACCTCCCATCTAGACTTGGCCTTTATTTTTGCAGATATAAGTGTGATCTTAAAATATTAAGGAAACAGGGATTAATACTTATCACAAATGCAAACTTGTGAGTTAACTACATTTCGGTTATCAAAAAGAATCATTTTTTGGTTAGATAGTGTTTCTTAAATATTTTTCATAAAGTTTCATATGTTTTTAAATTAAGGAAAGTTATTAGTGTCATGTCTAAAGCAGCTTCTGGTTAAAAATAGTATTCCTGTGACTCTTTAAAGTGACTTTTCTTTTGATTAATGTAATCACCTTTTTCTCCCAATAGATTTGGGATAATCTTACTTATGTTTCTTAAATAAAAGAAAAACATGGGCAAAAAATTAAATTCAAGTTATCTTTGATCTTCAATTAAAACAATTTATGATATAGTGGAAAATTTGTACTTTGACAAGAAAAACACTTAGCAGTGAGTATTGACACTTTTACCTACTGGGAAATATAGGATGTGTCATTTCCCCCCTCTCTGATACTCAGTTTCTTCATCTATATAAGAGGAAAAGTAATATCTGCCAGGCAGAGTTCTTTTAAGATGGAAAAACAAATAAACAAACAAACTTCTGCTTGTGATGCCTGTGATAACATAAGCACTATTTTTAAAATTTATTTTATTTTATTTTATTTTATTTTATTTTATTTTCAAGACAGAGCCTTGCCCTGTCACCTAGATTGGAGTGCAGTGGTGCGATTTTGGCTCATTGCAACCTCTGCCTCCTGGATTCAAGCAATTCTCCTGCCTCAGCCTCCCGAGTAACTGGGATTACAGGTGCATGCCACTACGCCCAGCAAATTTTTGTATTTTTAGTAGAGACAGGATTTCACCATGTTAGCCAGGCTGGTCTCAAATTCCTGACTTTGTGATTCTCCTGCCTCGTCCTCCCAAAGTGCTAGGATTACAGGCGTGAACCACCATGCCCGGCTAGTAATTTTTATGTGTATAACAAAAATATAAGCAGAAATTAAACAAATGTAAGATGATGCACCTCAATTTGAGAAAATAAGTAAAATAAACACTTCCTTACTTTAGATTACTGCTGAGTTAAATTTAAATTCATAAAGCAAATTATGAAATAAATTACCTTATGAAAAATGATTAGAGTTTTAAAAATATCATGTTTAGCAAATGATCACTTGTTAGTCTTTAACCATGAGCTTGATTAGCCCTGATCCTATTTATTTCAAGAGTAATTTCAGACCTATTCAGACTTCCCCCTAAACCCACACGTTCTTCACTCTCTTCACTCTCAGCAGGTGATTTCATCATCCTTTTTATTGGAGGAAATGGATATATCTCTTCTGCTATTCCTTAACCTCCTACCACCTAAAAACTTCCATAGCCATCGTCACTGTCTTTCATTTCCAGAAGACCAAATGTTTCTTTTCTTCAAGGTTGACTTGCCACCCATGTCCTTGACCTAAATGC